GGTGGCGAGGGTGGGTGCGAGGGCCAGCGCCGATCGGCAAAACAATGCATAAGAAAACGATTGCAAGAGAAACTTGGAGTTTGGTCCGTTTCTCATCTTTCCTCCTCCGGCGTTGAAGTCCCAGGAATTGTCTTGGAGCGATTGTGGATTCTCCGACGGCTGTCTTTCGATGGTGCGCATCCCGCGATGGAGGTGCCATGGGCACCAGCGGCGATGCGGCGCAAAAAGGCCAGTGGTGGTCTTCCTACGGCGGAGGGCGGCCTGGAACGCGTGCATGGGCCCCTCCAGCCCCGTGGACCCCTCTTTGCATCTGCACATAATGAAAACTGCTCTCCTCGCTCCCCTGACTGTGTCCAGAAGATCTCTGGCCCTCACCGCGTACTGTTGTCTTGCACGCAGGATTTCAACAATTGATGTTCAGTTTGTTCCAATCCGATTGTTGTCGGCGTTTCGAAAAGCGTGCGCTCGAGCTGCAGCGTGGGCCTCATTTTCGCAACGGCGCCTTGCGCCCACGCCCAGTATGGCGCTCTCGCCTCGGCGCGGGCCACTCTCCTGGACCCGAGTTCTTTCTCATCGTTGTCGCCCCTCTCCTTGTTTTTCTCCCCCGCCTTCCCCTGGTCCTCCCGCTCCTCCCCTTCCTTCCACTCCAGTTCCTGAGGCTGCTGCTGCTGCTGCTGCTGTTCGTCCTCGCCCTCCTCCTTCACTATCATCCTCCTTGTCCTCCTGCTTATCCTCCTGCTCACCCGCCACCTCCTCCTCCTCCTCCTCCGTACGCAGTTCCCTTTTCCGATTGCGCATACCACGATGGGGTCTTTCTGTTGGAGTCCCAGATCGGCTGACTAACACAGGCGTCCGCGGATAGAGAACATATCTACGCAAGAGGAAGGGATGGGAGGGAGGAGTAGAACGCCGGATACGGCGCAAGCGAACCTAGCTTGCCTCTCTCCTCTTTCCTCCTCTTCCTCCTCCTCCTCCTCCTCCTGCTCCTCCACATCCTCCTCCTGCCCTTCCCGCCTCCCTCCTCCTCCTCCTCCTCATCCTCCTCCTGCTCTTCCTCCCCCTCCTCCTCCTCCTCCTCCTCCTCCTCGTCCTCCTCCTCCCTCCGTCCTCTCACCTCCCCCCACTCTCCTCCTCCTCCCTCTCCTCCTCCATGCTGGTCCTCCTCCGCCTCGGCCCTCCTCCTCCTTCTCCCCCTCCAACGGAGGGAGGGCACCCGCACCCCCTTGTCGCGGTGCCGACACGCCGCTTCCAGAAGCCTCCGGACCCGCCGCCGCCTCTCCAGCTCGATGACGGCGGCTACGACGACGACGCTGGCGGCGGCACCGACGACGACCACGACGCCGACCACGGCCATGACGCCGACCACGGCCATGCCGCTGCCGCCGCCGCCGCCGCCGACAACCACGACGACGACAACGACGCCCAAGACCATGACCACGACCACGCCCATGACGAGGGCGGGCCGCGAGGGCCCATGGGAGGCCGCGGTAGTGGGCCCCCAGGCCTTGCAGGCAGGACTTGTATCCGTGCCCGCTGCGTCTAGGATCGGCGGCGAGCGAGGGGGGGAACTGAGAAGGGAAAGGCCTTCTCAGAAGGCGGCGGGACTTCTCAGAAGCCTTCGCGCCCACTGAGAAGTTGTTTCGGTCTTGGGGGCAGGCTTAGAGAACTTCTCAGAAGGCCGGGGGGCTTCCGAACCTTCTGAGAAGGCCTTCTCCTTCTCACTTCCCCCCCTTCGCTCGCCGCCGACCTCTACCAGATACCAGGGGCGCAGTGGATATGGACGAAACTCTGGCCACGGGAGGCTAAGTTTTTATCCATGTCCCCTGCGCCTCGGCCTCCTGGCGCCCCTTTCCAGCAACCAAGGCCGCGCTTACAGCGATGCTGGTGAACGGCTTTGTTGGGCATCTGATTTCTGTGACACCGAGCTCGCGCAGAACAAAGTGTAGGACATCGCGGACCACACTTGCCTACATGTCAAATGTGCGAATGCATCGAGCGAAAACGTCGCAGCGAATTGTAGGAAAGCGCGAATCACCATGTCCTACAATTGGTTTGGCCACGAACCAGTCCCACCTACAATGCCGAAGCCTACGTCGCCGTTGCCTACATTGCCGTTAGCGCGTCTACGGAGTAAGTCGAAGACGCAGTGGACATGGATGCACAATCAAGAAACCTTCCACAATAACCCCAACCCCGAGACCCCAGGACGTCCCTTGAGTTTTGGCGTTGGCGCGTCACGCTTTCCATCGCAACACCATCGAAACCCAAGAAACCCAGGGCACCCTGGAAGCAACCAGGGTGTCTCTTGGCATGGGTCTCTGCTGCACACCTTGCCCGAAGACGCTCCTTTGTCCGCAGCGCCAGCGGTCGCCAGCACGCTCAATAGCCGCGCGGGGCGCGCCGTGTGACGTCGGTACCCCAACGCAGGTGGAAAGGAAGAGTGAAGGGACCCTGGGACACACAAATAAATACACACAACTAAGAATATTCCCCATAGTGTCCTATATTTTCTGGGTGTTTGTCTTCCCCCCCACCTCCCATATTTTCCCATATTTTCTGGGGAATCGACGATTAATTGTGTCTGTGTTTGTTCCCTCCTGAAAGAGGGCGGCAACGGAGACGGCCTCGGGCACCGTAGGCCAGTGGACCCCCAGGAGCGGACGCAGCCGCGCCGAGCGGGGCATCTCGGTTCCCGACGCTCCAAGACGGCCCCACAAGTTTCAAACTCGCCCCAAGACGGCCCAAGAGGCCCCAAACATGATCGACCCACGAACCCGGAAAGGAATACAGAAATGTAAGGCATTGCAACAGTTCAAAGACACCTGATTGGGCGACGGGCACATGCAATGCTGAATGTATCGATGATGACGTACTATGCCGAGGGCTGTGCTGTGCTACGCCGTGCTGAACTGCGATGTGCCATGCCGCGATTGTGCTCTATATAGCGTTGTGGATCGAGTCATCCCTGGCATCCGAGTCCTCACCGAACTGATCTGGAGCGTAAGCTCGAGCTGCCTGAGCAGATGGTAGCTGCCCCAGAACTAATCGACAGAGGGAACATGCCAGGAGGACGCGCCGCGGAACGTCCCAAGGGACGCGCCAGGCGACGTGCCAGGGGACGTGCCATGGGGCACCGCGGGACGTGCCAAGGGGACGCGCTACGGAACGTGCCAATGGACGTGCCGAGGGACGTGCCAGGGGACGCGCCGCGCGACGTGCCAGGTGGACTCGCCACGGAACGCGCCAAGGAACGTGCCAAGGTGCATAATTGAGTGTATCGATCTTGATGTACCGTGCCGACGGCTGTGCTGTGCTGGGCCGTGCTGAACTGCGATGTGCCATGCCGCGATTGTGCTCTATATAGCGTTGTGGATGGAGTCCTCCCTGGCATCCGAGTCCTCACCGAACTGATCTGGATCGTAAGCTCGAGCTGCCTGAGCCGATGGTAGCTGCCCAAGAACTAATCGGCAGAGGGAACATGCCAAGAGGATGCGCCGCGGAACGTCCCAAGGGACGCGCCAGGCGACGTGCCAGGGGACGTGCCATGGGCACGCACCGCGGGACGTGCCAAGGGAACGCGCTACGGAACGTGCCAATGGACGTGCACCGCGCGACGTGCCAGGGGGACTCGCCACGGGACGCTCCGCAGAACGTGCCAGGCAACATGCCAAGCTGCAATGCTAAGAGTATCGATATTGATGTACCGTGCCGAGGGCTGTGCCGTGCCTGGGCGACCTGAACACGTGAAAACACGCGTTTCGCTCAAGACGTTGTCAACACATCCTCATGCTACACATCGTCGCTGGGCAACCTGGACACGTGCAAACAGGCGTCTCGCTCGAGACATCCTCAACAAATGCTCATGCTAGACATCCGCCTGGGCGTCCTGGGCACGTGAAAACAAGCCTCTGGTTCGAGACATCCTCAACAAATCCTCATGCTAGACATCTGTCTGGGCCACCTGGAGGCGTCTCGCTCGAGACATCCTCAAGACCTGGGCACGTGAAAACAAGCAATCCACTTGAGAGATCCCCAGAATTGAGGTCCCCAGGAGAGGACAATCTATAACACAAAACAAGTGTTTCGCTCCAGACATCCTCAACCAATTATGAACAAAAAAAAAACGTTTCGCTCGAGACACCCTCAAATTTTAATTCGCCGGTCCTACGCGACCTCGTTATTTATCGCAGAATAATTTTCGCCGGCCCTGCAGCCGTCGAAGCTGGGGGGAACCAACTAAAAGAGAACCCTGGGCTCGAGCCCTTTCCGAGAAAAACGGCCCCCAGGAAACCCCAAGATCAGGGGGGCGTAGGACCCGGGCACAGGGGATTCGGAAATCCCCGACGAGGTCGTCAAAAAAATGACGAGGCCGAGCCTGCATTTTGACGAGGCCTCCCCCTGCAAACATCCCACGAAACTCCTACTCGTCAAAATCCGAGTCGCGGTCGTCAAAAAACGATGGCGAACCCGAGTCCTGGCAAATCCGGGTCTTTCGCTCCCCCGACAAGAGGCCTCCGAGAGGTCCCGAAGTGGCTCCCGAGGGACTCGAGCACTGCCCCACCGAGTCCCAAATGGCGTTCCGAGAAGACCCCAAAAAGTAGAAGTGAGACTCTGACCCACTTCAGCGTCGTCGTCGTCGTCGTCGCCCCTTTCAGGGTCGCCGGCAGCGGCCGCAAGGTCTTCGGAGTAAACGACTCGGATGCCAACCACCGCCCGCGCAAAGAAGCCAGACAGGGCACAGTTGGGAACGGGCACTTGCCACCATATCATTTTGCCTCCAACGATCCCCACCCAAAAACGCGAGGCGGGACCCCCAAGGAGTCCCCCGCACAAATTGGGCCCGCCGGCCGCGGCAGGCAGGCGCGATTCGACGGAGTCACGCGCCCGGATACTCAAGGGGGCACCAGCACACTTTGGACCTGGCGGCCGTGGTAGAAGCCTCGGAAGCAACTGGCGATCACGCATGCCGCACTCATCTGTGAAACCCTAAACCCTAAACCCTAAACCCTAAACCTGTACATGAAGATCGCCGTGGTCCCGGACTCCTGTGGAGGCCTCCTAGATGGGGTCCGAGTAGATGGGGTCGAAGGATCGCGCCGCATCGCCAATGCATCGCCGATGCAGCGGCGACGCGTCGGCGACGCACCGCCGACGCATCGCCGACGCATCGCCGATGCAGCGGGGAAAACCGGGCCCCACATCGAGCCGCATCGCCGATGCATCGCCGACGCATCGCCGATGCATCGGCGATGCGGCGCGATCCTCCAATCCCATCTACCTCGACCCCATCTGGGAGGCCTAAATCCTGGTCGTTGATGGACGCGTCCTCGCGCAGCATGGCATCGACGGCGACGTGCGCCGCCTTCAGAGCAGCGCCCTCGTCCTCGGCCGGCTCGGCCCCGGCCGCCGGCGGGCCGGCCGCGCCGCGCCCCAGGCGATCGGTGACGGCGTCGCAGAGGTGGTCGCGGGCAAAGGCGGCGCACTCCCGGCCGAGCGGCCCGTGCCCGTCGTAGACGGCGAGCCACTGCTGCGCGTCGCCGACGCGGCCCTCCGCCAAGGTGAACGCGTCCTGGTTCGGGAGCCTTTTGATGGGGTGGCCCCCCGCCTGCGACAACGCCGCGCAGCGCAGGGTCAGGCCCCCTGGGATCTCGATGGCGAGCCCATCGGCCGCCACCTGCTCCAGCTGGCACGCAGAGCTCGCACTCCTCCGCTCCGCCTGCTTCTGGATGAGCTCCGGCGGAAAGGCGAGCGCCGCCGCCTGCCATCTCCGGCGGCGCGCGTCTTCGGGGTCTTCCTCCTCCAGGTCGGCGTTCATCTTCTCGATCCCCTCCCTGTTCAACTTCTCAAACGTCTCCAGCTCACTCTTCGAGTAGGCTGCGGGGTCCTGCGTCACCGACACGATGCTCGGCATGTAACCGAAGCGCTGCATCGTATCCCACGTCGCATTCTCGACGAGGATCACGTCGCCCGTGGGCATTGGCGGCGTGCCGTGGAGCCACTTCGCAAACTGGCCCTTCGCGAAGTCGTCGCCAAGAGTCAGGTTGCAAAATTGCTTCGGCAACCCCGCCGCCTTTTTCGACTCGGTTCCAGACCTGGCGTCCTCGCACTTGGCCTCCAGATCCGTCATCGGCAACACGGACGAGATGCTTGTCTGTCTCGTGGACGCGAATTGTTCCTTGCCGACGAACTCGAAGAGACTCTTCATTGCAAGAGGCCTGTCCTGCAACAGATCCTCGTAGCGGAGCACGTGCACCATGTCGGGGCAGGCGTCGGCGATCTTCAGAGCACTCTCTTGGAGCTGCGCCCACTTGGTGGCAATCGCGTGGTAGTGGCAGTCGCCGACAGGAGTGTTCATGAATGACATGGCGACGTCGCGCGGGTCGCGAACCAGGTAGATGTAACGAAGGCGATCCTTCCCGTAGAACTTCAGCAGCGCATCGTGGTACCTCGACATCCCCATGGACTTGAACAACCATGTTCTTTTGAAATTGGCTCGCGCATGGGTGTCGTAGGCCTCGTTGAATATGACCATGAGGATCTCCATCCCAGACAAGGCCTCCGCATCCGCCCCCCGCTCCACCGCGCGGAACACCTGACCCCTGTCGAAGGTGAGAAGGCGACCCTTTCTGTCGGTCCATGGCACCTGGTTTCGTTCGACGAAAGTCAGCACATGGTCGACGAGGACCTCCATGTTGGTCGCCTGGCCCAGGTCGCCGAACTTGCCGAGGATGGGCAGGAAGTTGTCGAAGATGCGCGGCGGATGCGGGCCCGCGATGTCCTCGCGCTCGCCCATCATCGTCCGCAGCCAGTTCGATCCAGACCTCTGAACGGGCCCCAGGACACACACATCATAAACAACTATATATACATATGTGTGTATGTGTATATATATATAGAGAGAGAGAGAGAGATCCCCCATATGTTCCCATCTTTTCTGGGCTTCTGTCTTCCCCCCCCCCCTTCCCATATGTTCCCACATCTTCTGGGGAAGCGAGGATTCATTGTGCCTGTGTTTTTTCCTCTCCTGAACCTCTGCGACCCCCCCCCTCCTCCTCCTCCTCCTCCTCCTTTTCCTTTTCCTTTTCCTTTTCCTTTTCCTCCTCCTTTTCCTTTTCCTTTTCCTATTCCTTTTCCTTTTCCTCCTCCTCCTCCTCCTCCTCTTCCTCCTGAAGAACACCCTCTCCGCGGACCTCTTCGGCTCGCCCTCGCCGTCCCCGGCGGCAGCCCGGTCGGGGCCCTCTCTCGCTCCGCGCCCACCCTAAGAAGCGGGCCCGCGCGCGGGGGGGGGGCCGCGCGGGGCCTCGAGGAGGAGCCTGCGGCTGCGGAGCACCTCGGAGGGGCCCTGGGAGACACAAAGAAATGCACACAGATAAAAAGACGCCCTATAGTTTCCCATATTTTCGGGGTTTCTGTCTTCCCCCCATTGCCCATATTTTCCTACCTTTTGGGGGGGAATCGACGATCAATGGTGTCTTTTTGGCGGGAATCGACGATCAATGGTGTCTGCGTGTGTGTTTTGTTCCCTCCTGACACCTCGAAGGCGGCGAAGAGGCAGATGACGATCCCCCCCGCCGTCTGAACTGTCTTCTCGTCGACGTAGATCCCCAGCCACTGGCCCAGAGGCGTGGGCAAGACCGTCACCGGAACGAATAGCTTCAGGAGGTTGCGGGAACCGTGCTTGCGAATGTTGGCCTGGCGCAGCAACAACGGCTGAGCCGCGAACAAGCCGATTGCCCGGATGAACACCGCGTGCTTGAAGTCCGCCTCCCAGCCGCACAACCTCGCCACCTGCCACACGAACAAGTACACAATGGCCATGCCGCAGCCGGTGACGGCGACGGCGACGTTCCCGAGGAAGGTTGCCAGCGTGTACACGAACACGTCAACAGCGCCAGCGGCCATCGTGGCACTCCCTCGGGTCAGACTGACCCAGGCGGCCGGTCGGTCACATCAGACCCGATGTAAGTCGGCACTGCGTAGGCCAAGCGCTTGAGCCCTTGAGCCACCATCGCCACGGAGAAAGGATGGCTAGTTTTGACGCCACCAGTGTGCCCCGCTGGGAGATCTAATTTTCCAATCAGCCGCGAAGTCGGCTTTCATTTCTATTTTTTCGCATCCGCATCCATTCACAGCGTCTCGCTCGGTCGGGAGAACCTACACGCAATCAGGGCTCCTTTGCCAGGCAGGCTCCTCCTGATTTGGCCATCGAACTTATTGGCGAATGTTGCCTGCCCTGTGCTACGAAGTGATCTGCTGTGCTGTGCTGCGCTGTGCTGCTGTATGCGCAAGTGTGTTGTACTGTGTTATGCGATGCTGTGGCGTGTGCTGCGCGCTGCTGCTGTCGGCTGTTTGGTTCATGTAATGCCATGCTGTGCTGCGCTGTGCCAGGCTCCCGTACATTACCAGCCTCGAACGTATCCCTATCCCTGAGATTGACACGCCAAAAGGCGATGACAATCTTAGGGATTGGTCCTCAAAAAAAAAGGGAATCCCTGAGATTGGCATCGTGATGAGGAGGTGCCCAGCATAGGGATAGGGATATGTTCCAGGCTGGTAAGTACACACCATGTCAAGCAGTGCCCCCTCGTCGGGTTGGGGCTCGAGGTGGCGCTGCGCTTTTTTGCGGCCTCGCAGCGCAGACCCGGGCCACAGCAGGGCCACGGCCGGTCGACCGCACCGTTTCCGCGCCCAGAAAGGGCAGGCCGCGGAAACCCTTGGGGCAAGACGCAACGTCACGCTGAGGCCGAGGCAGCGGTGATGCAACGCGTGGCGATCGGCCCAAACGCCCCGCCCGCCCCGCCGCCGACGGCGCAATCCGGCACAGTGTCTGCAGGCACAGTGTCTGCACACAGTGAGGGCTGATGATAGGACACCATGTCTGGGGCAACAGGCTGGTTCCGCTATGTTGTCGTTCCCTTGTGGCATCATATTGCTTTGTGTGTGTCCTCTCTCTCTCTCTCTCCTTCGCTCTCTCTCTCTCTCTCTCTCTTTCTCTCGTTTTCTCTCCGTATGTCTCTGTATCTGTCTGCCTGTCTCTGTCTGGCTCTCTCTCTCTCTCTCTCTCTCTCTCTCTCTCTCTCTCTTTCCTCTTACAGTTCCTCTTGCCTGTTCCCCCCTCCTGGGCATTTCTAATGTTCTGCAGCTGCTCGTCTACGACAGTCGGTCGTGGTTTAATGCCTGACGCTGTGAATGGCCATCGCACCGCGGCGTTTCACCCGGGAGGAAGCAGCTGCTTATGGGGCCGTTTGCCGTTAGATAAGACACCATTGGGTAAAGAATCCAGGGCCCGGAAGCCAGTGGAACCTCGATCATGGATATGCCATAGATATCACTGCCGCCTCCATCAGATAAAGAACACCCCCAGGGTCTGAAGCCTCCCGGGCACACTCCTTAACCAACGCCGCCACTGTAGGGACGCACACTCCGTGGTGCGAATGTGAACACAAGCGTCAACCGAGGCGCTGGCAGTGCGGAGAGCATTCGGGCGCGACAGTCGCGAACCCAGCGGCGTCAGCACATTGTAGCATAGGTCGGGCATGTCGGACGAAAAATCAAAATGATCGGCCCACGATCCCGGAAAGGAATATAGAAACTTGAGGCGTGGCAACGCTTCAAAGACACCTGATTGGGCGACGGGCAAATGCAATGCTGAATGTATCGATCTTCATGTACCGTGCTCAGGGCTGTGCTGTTGTGCGCCGTGCTGCATTGCGATGTGCCATGCCACGGTTGTGCTCTACAGCGTGGTGGATCGAATCCTCCTTTGCGTCCGAGTCCTAACCGAACTTGCACGGACCTGCACTTTGACCGCAGTCTTCCCCACGCATGCCAACTTTGAGCTCTGAGGAGCTGGGGAGTGTCCGCTGATTGCTTCCTTCCACCGTATGCGGGGTGCCCGAGGCGGGTCCAGAACCCATGTCTTCTAAATCTGAAAACCCAAACCTCCTCCTCCTTTTCCTCCTCCTCCTCCTCCGCCTCCTCCTCGTCTTCTTCTTCTTCGTCTTCTTCTTCTTCTTCTTCCTCTTCCCCCTCCTCCTCCTCCTCCGCCTCCTCCGCCTCCTCGTCCTCCTCGTCCTCCTCCTCCCCCTCCTCCTCCGGCTCCTCCTCCTCCTCCTCCTCCTTCTCCTCCTCCTCCTCATCGTCCTCCTCCTCAAGACTCAAGACTCAAGACCCATGGAATCCACATCATTGCAAAAAGTTGGACAGGTACCCGACATGGACTCCTATCAGAAATCACTCGGGATTCTGGGAAGGTTAGCTACACAACTGACGCAAGGCGAGTCGAGGCTAGCTGCTCACCGCACGAGGGCGGCACTGGCCTTGCTGGCGACCCCAAGAGGCACCAAACCCCCACATAGGGGCCAGCACTCTCGGCACAGGTCTGAAAGTTAAGTTCCCTTCCCACCACCACCCCCACCGTCCGATCCCCGCCCACCACGCCCCTTCTTTCCCTTGCCCTTAGCCTGGCTCCTATGGCGCGTGCGAGGCTGCATTGCCACCACAGGCTGCGCAGGCAGGGCTGGATTGTTGTAAGTCTGCACCTGACTACTGAGAGCGCTGTTCACAACAGTTTGGTCTATACGACCGCTGGCTAACAGTTGTGCAAGTCTGCTGCTATTCCTCAGGGCCGCTACCTGTCTCCTTCGAGCATCCGTGAGATCTCGCGTTCCAAGGGCCCCCGAGGGGCCGCTCCGATCAGCTTTTTGCCGCCCTCGATCTCGATCGCCCTGAAGATGGGAGGCGCCATCACCGAGGCCAGCTGATGACTGTGGTCGAACTTGAGCAGGATGGTCGCGCGCTGGTCCTCTCCCTCCTGTTTCTGAGCTGCGCCGCCCAGCCCGAGGTGCGCAGAACTGGCCCAGCGACCCCGCCCGCAAACGGACCTTCTGCACGCTGCCGCGCTCTGAGAGTGCCGCGCGACACGTCGCGCCTTGGATGCGCGCGCAGTCCGGCGGATGTCGGGCTCTGCCCAAGCTGTGCCTGCCCAGGGGGCTTCTGATTGAGCCTGCTGAAGGAACTGGACGCGCACGTCGAGACGCCGCTAGTGCCAGATTGACTGCGCCCGTGGACACCTCGTGGGCGCCCCGCGCCTGGTTGCGTGCGCGTGCTTGTGCCGGGCCGCCGAGGGCGCACGTCCAGCCACAAGGAGCACCTGACCGCGGCCTGAACCTGCCCAGAGGGGCTCCCAAAAGAGCCCGGGGCTGGGTCCACTCCGGCCTGTGGCAGCGGAAGCCAAGAGGCACCGATGCAGATGCTCCCCGGACCTCTCCTTGGGGCGCGTTCTGACCAGGACTTCGAGGCGAATCCAACGGTGTCGACGAGGGGCCCCCAGGAGGCCCAACATGATCGACCCACGAACCCAGAAAGGAGTATAGACATGTGAGGCATGGCAACGTTTTAAAGACAACTGATTGGGCGACGGGCACTTGCAATACTGAGTGCCCCGATCTTGATGCACCGTGCCGAAAGGCTGTGCTGTGCTGCGCCGTGCTGAATTGCGATGTACCACGCCGCGATTGTGCTCTACAGCGTCGCTGATCGAGTCCTCCATAGCTACTTGACAGGGGGACATGCCAGACGCTTCGTATATGCGCCGGTCTTCACAATCATCGTCCTCTTCTTCACGTTTTACCTCTTCCAGATTCCGGATGTCTTTTGACCTCCGATTTATAATTTAGAATGGGGCGACAGCTGCACCGCGGCCAGGCGCCCGTGCACCGCTGCAGCTTTATAATGGGGAACGTTGATGCAAAAGGTGCTGCACCGCTGCAGCGAAAAAGCGGACACGTCGCCGAGATCGCCACGAGGTGCGCTGCGCGGAGACAGCAGACACCAATCACGGCGGGCCGAGCAGAAGGAAGCCCATGATACGAGGGCGCACGGCAAACCGCCGAGATGAAACCGGACCGGTCTGAACCGAGAATGGCATGATAGTAACTTGAGCCTGGTGTGGCTGGGGATCCTCATCAGCTCATTCAAAGGCAGTGATGAGCAGACTGATGCCGCACAACACCAGCAGCATCGCGAGTATGGTTTTGATATTCGCCTGAGAACCGTTCGTGCGATCGAAGAGTCGCCCACCAATGGCGACACCCACCGGCGAAATCAGCACCACGGAAGCGTAGAGCGGCCGATCCTCCACCACGGCCGTGCCATTGCCTGTCGCAACATCCACTGCGTATCCCAAAATGCGAATCGAGACGTTGACCACAGTGATCGCAGCTCCGTTCGCCTTCTGGACGGCCTTCGGGAGCACCATGTGCAGGAAGAAGATGACCATGGGGGGCCCACGGATGCCGCAGAGGCCACCTATAAACCCGCTCGCGAATCCCATGGAGATCGCCCAAGCAGCCAAACGCGAGCTCATCTGCTCCACCTGCTGCGAGATCGCATCCTCTGCACGGGCGTCCTGCTTCTCGCCCTTGCTGCCTGGGCTGACGAGGCAAACAAGTGCTGTGATGTCGTCAGCGCGGCCCCCGCGGCTCAGCCACCGCCTGCGGGCCTCCGCTACCAATGATGCGCACGCGGCAACTGGGTCGTGCTGCAGGGCCACGCTGCAACATTCGCGTGCCGTCATGTACTGCGAAACCCCGTCGCTGCAGAGGACGAAGACCCTGTCAGCTCTCGTGGTCGTATGACTCCTCAGCTCGGGCTCGGCAACGACGCCCAGGAGCTTGGCGGCACGGTCGCCGATGGAACGCGTGAACGCACAGCCTGGCTGCGGACACCCTGGCGCCCACACGCGCGGTGGTGGGCCATCTCCAGCCCAGTCATCCGTGGGCTCGGTGGTGAGCTCCATGCCTGGGCCCATGGGCCCGGAGCCGTCCACCTGGCTTGCAGTGGCGATCACCCCGCCGCAGCTCCTGATCCTGCCTGCCTCGTCGGGTCTGCTGGCGGCCTGGGCCTCCGAGAGCGGCTCCGCGGCGAGCTCGCCGCCTGGGCCCACGTGGCCGCGGAAGCAGCAGCTGTCGCCGACGTTGCTGATGTAGCAGCGGTCTCCGCTGATGTACATGGAGATCGCCGTGGTCCCGGACTCCTGTGGAGGCCTCCTAGATGGGGTCCGAGTAGATGGGGTCGAAGGATCGCGCCGCATCGCCAATGCATCGCCGATGCAGCGGCGACGCGTCGGCGACGCACCGCCGACGCATCGCCGACGCATCGCCGATGCAGCGGGGAAAACAGGGCCCCACATCGAGCCGCATCGCCGATGCATCGCCGACGCATCGCCGATGCATCGGCGATGCGGCGCGATCCTCCAATCCCATCTACCTCGACCCCATCTGGGAGGCCTAAATCCTGGTCGTTGATGGACGCGTCCTCGCGCAGCATGGCATCGACGGCGACGTGCGCCGCCTTCAGAGCAGCGCCCTCGTCCTCGGCCGGCTCGGCCCCGGCCGCCGGCGGGCCGGCCGCGCCGCGCCCCAGGCGATCGGTGACGGCGTCGCAGAGGTGGTCGCGGGCAAAGGCGGCGCACTCCCGGCCGAGCGGCCCGTGCCCGTCGTAGACGGCGAGCCACTGCTGCGCGTCGCCGACGCGGCCCTCCGCCAAGGTGAACGCGTCCTGGTTCGGGAGCCTTTTGATGGGGTGGCCCCCCGCCTGCGACAACGCCGCGCAGCGCAGGGTCAGGCCCTCTGGGATCTCGATGGCGAGCCCATCGGCCGCCACCTGCTCCTGCTGGCACGCAGAGCTCGCACTCCTCCGCTCCGCCTGCTTCTGGATGAGCTCCGGCGGAAAGGCGAGCACCGCCGCCTGCCATCTCCGGCGGCGCGCGTCTTCGGGGTCTTCCTCCTCCAGGTCGGCGTTCATCTTCTCGATCCCCTCCCTGTTCAACTTCTCAAACGTCTCCAGCTCACTCTTCGAGTAGGCTGCGGGGTCCTGCGTCACCGACACGATGCTCGGCATGTAACCGAAGCGCTGCATCGTATCCCACGTCGCATTCTCGACGAGGATCACGTCGCCCGTGGGCATTGGCGGCGCGCCGTGGAGCCACTTCGCAAACTGGCCCTTCGCGAAGTCGTCGCCAAGAGTCAGGTTGCAAAATTGCTTCGACAACCCCGCCGCCTTTTTCGACTCGGTTCCAGACCTGGCGTCCTCGCACTTGGCCTCCAGATCCGTCATCGGCAACACGGACGAGATGCTTGTCTGTCTCGTGGACGCGAATTGTTCCTTGCCGACGAACTCGAAGAGACTCTTCATTGCAAGAGGCCTGTCCTGCAACAGATCCTCGTAGCGGAGCACGTGCACCATGTCGGGGCAGGCGTCGGCGATCTTCAGAGCACTCTCTTGGAGCTGCGCCCACTTGGTGGCAATCGCGTGGTAGTGGCAATCGCCGACAGGAGTGTTCATGAATGACAGGGCGACGTCGCGCGGGTCGCGAACCAGGTAGATGTAACGAAGGCGATCCTTCCCGTAGAACTTCAGCAGCGTACCGTGGTACCTCGACATCCCCATGGACTTGAACAACCATGTTCTTTTGAAAATGGCTCGCGCATGGGTGTCGTAGGCCTCGTTGAATATGACCATGAGGATCTCCATCCCAGACAAGGCCTCCGCATCCGCCTCCCGCTCCACCGCGCGGAACACCTGACCCCTGTCGAAGGTGAGAAGGCGACCCTTTCTGTCGGTCCATGGCACCTGGTTTCGTTCGACGAAAGTCAGCACATGGTCGACGAGGACCTCCATGTTGGTCGCCTGGCCCAGGTCGCCGAACTTGCCGAGGATGGGCAGGAAGTTGTCGAAGATGTGCGGCGGATGCGGGCACGCGATGTCCTCGCGCTCGTCCATCATCGTCCGCAGCCAGTTCGATCCAGACCTCTGAAGGGGCCCCAGGACACACACATCATATATATATATATATATATACATATGTGTGTATGTATATATATAGATTCCCCGTATGTTCCCATCTTTTCTGGGTTTCTGTCTTCCCCCCCCTTCCCATATGTTCCCACATCTTCTGGGGAAGCGAGGATTCATTGTGCCTGTGTTTTTTCCTCTCCTGAACCTCTGCGACCCCCCCCTCCTCCTCCTCCTCCTCCTCCTTTTCCATTTCCTTTTCCTTTTCCTTTTCCTTTTCCTTTTCCTCCTCCTCCTTTTCCTCCTCCTCCTCCTCCTTTTCCTTTTCCTTTTCCTCCTCCTCCTCCTCCTCCTCCTCTTCCTCCTGAAGAACACCCTCTCCGCGGACCTCTTCGGCTCGCCCTCGCCGTCCCCGGCGGCAGCCCGGTCGGGGCCCTCTCTCGCTCCGCGCCCTCCCTAAGAAGCGGGCCCGCGCGCGGGGGGGGCCGCGCGGGGCCTCGAGGAGGAGCCTGCGGCTGCGGAGCACCTCGGAGGGGCCCTGGGAGACACAAAGAAATGCATACAGATAAAAAGACGCCCTATAGTTTCCCACATGTTCGGGGTTTCTGTCTTCCCCCCATTGCCCATATTTTCATATTTTTTTGGGGGGAATCGACGATCAATGGTGTCTGTGCGTGTGTGTGTTTTGTTCCCTCCTGACACCTCGAAGGCGGCGAAGAGGCAGATGACGATCCCCCCCGCCGTCTGAACTGTCTTCTCGTCGACGTAGATCCCCAGCCACTGGCCCAGAGGCGTGGACAAGACCGCCACCGGAACGAATAGCTTCAGGAGGTTGCGGGAACCGTGCTTGCGAATGTTGGCCTGGCGCAGCAACAACGGCTGAGCCGCGAACAGGCCGATTGCCCGGATGAACACCGCGTGCTTGAAGTCCGCCTCCCAGCCGCGCAACCTCGCCACCTGCCACACGAACAAGTACACAATGGCCATGCCGAAGCCGGTGACGGCGACGCCGACGTTCCCGAGGAAGGTTGCCAGCGTGTACACGAACACGTCAACAGCGCCAGCGGCCATCGTGGCACTCCCTCGGGTCAGACTGACCCAGGCGGCCGGTCGGTCACATCAGACCCGATGTAAGTCGGCACTGCGTAGGCCAAGCGCTTGAGCCCTTGAGCCACCATCGCCACGGAGAAAGGATGGCTAGTTTTGACGCCACCAGTGTGCCCCGCTGGGAGATCTAATTTTCCAATCAGCCGCGAAGTCGGCTTTCATTTCTATTTCTTCGCATCCGCATCCATTCACAGCGTCTCGCTCGGTCGGGAGAACCTACACGCAATCAGGGCTCCTTTGCCAGGCAGGCTCCTCCTGATTTGGCCATCGAACTTATTGGCGAATGTTGCCTGCCCTGTGCTACGAAGTGATCTGCTGTGCTGTGCTGCGCTGTGCTGCTGTATGCGCAAAAGTGTGTTGTACTGTGTTATGCGATGCTGTGGCGTGTGCTGCGCGCTGCTGCTGTCGGCTGTTTGGTTCATGTAATGCCATGCTGTGCTGCGCTGTGCCAGGCTCCCGTACATTACCAGCCTCGAACGTATCCCTATCCCTGAGATTGACACGCCAAAAGGCGATGACAATCTTAGGGATTGGTCCTCAAAAAATAAGGGAATCCCTGAGATTGGCATCGTGATGAGGAGGTGCCCAGCATAGGGATAGGGATATGTTCCAGGCTGGTAAGTACACACCATGTCTAGCAGTGCCCCCTCGTCGGGTTGGGGCTCGAGGTGGCGTTGCGTTTTTTTGCGGCCTCGCAGCACAAACCTGGGCCACAGCAGGGCCACGGCCTGTCGACCGCACCGTTTCCGCGCCCAGAAAGGGCAGGCTGCGGAAACGCTTGGGGCAAGACGCAAAGTCACGCTGAGGCCGAGGCAGCGGTCATGCAACGCGTGGCGATCGGCCCAAACGCCCCGCCCGCCCCGCCGCCGACGGCGCAATCCGGCACAGTGTCTGCAGGCACAGTGTCTGCACACAAAGAGGGCTGATGATAGGACACCATGTCTGGGGCAACAGGCTGGTTCCGCTATGTTGTCGTTCCCTTGTGGCATCATATTGCTTTGTGTGTGTCCTCTCTCTCTCTCTCCTTCGCTCTCTCTCTCTCTCTCTCTTTCTCTCGTTTTCTCTCCGTATGTCTCTTTATCTGTCTGCCTGTCTCTGTCTGGCTCTCTCTCTCTCTCTCTCTCTCTCTCTCTCTTTCCTCTTACAGTTCCTCTTGCCTGTTCCCCCCTCCTGGGTTTTTTTAATGTTCTGCAGCTGCTCGTCTACGACAGTCGGTCGTGGTTTAAAGCCTGACGATGTGAATGGCCATCGCACCGCGGCATTTCACTTGGGAGGAAGCAGCTGCTTATGGGGCTGTTTGCCGTTAGATAAGAAACCATTGGGTAAAGAATCCAGGGCCCGGTAGCCAGTGGAACCTCGATCATGGATATGCCATGGATATCACTGCCGCCTCCATCAGATAAAGAACACCCCCAGGGTCTGAAGCCTCCCGGGCACACTCCTTAACCAACGCCGCCACTGTAGGGATGAACACTCCGTGGTGCGAATGTGTGCACAAGCGTCAACCGAGGCGCTGGCAGTGCGGAGAGCATTCGGGTGCGACAGTCGCGAACCCAGCGGCGTCAGCACATTGTAGCATAGGTCGGGCATGTCGGACGAAAAATCCAAATGATCGGCCCACGATCCCGGAAAGGAATATAGAAACTTGAGGCGTGGCAACGCTTCAAAGACACCTGATTGGGCGACGGGCAAATGCAATGCTGAATGTATCGATCTTGATGTACCGTGCTCAGGGCTGTGCTGTTGCGCGCCGTGCTGAATTGCGATGTGCCATGCCACGGTTGTGCTCTAAAGCGTGGTGGATCGAATCCTCCTTTGCGTCCGAGTCCTAACCGAACTGGTCTGGATCTCAAGCTCGAGCTGCCTGAGCACATAGTAGCTGCCCCAGAGCTAATTGGCAGGGGGACATGCCAGGAGGACGCGGCGCGCAACGTCCCAAGGGACGTGCCAGGCGACGTGCCAGGGGACGTGCCAGGGGGACGCACCGCGGGATGTGCCAAGGGGACGCGCTACGGAACATGCCAATGGACGTGCCACGGGACGTGCCAGGGGACTTGCCGGACGACGTGCCAAGGGGACTCGTCACGGGACGCGCCACGAAACGAGCCAGGGAACGTGCCAAGTTGCAATGCTGAGTGTATCGATCTTGATGTACCGTGCTCAGGGCTGTGCTGTTGTGCGCCGTGCTGAATTGCGATGTGCCACGCCACGGTTGTGCTCTAAAGCGTGGTGGATCGAGTCCTCCTTTGCGTCCGAGTCCTGACCGAACTGGTCTGGATCTCAAGCTCGAGCTGCCTGAGCACATAGTAGCTGCCCCAAAGGCAATTGACAAGGGAAATGCCAGGAGGGCGCGCCGCGAAACGTTCCAAGGGACGCGCCAGGCGACGTGCCAGGGGACGTGCCAGGGAGACGCACCGCGGGACGTGCCAAGGGGACGGGACGCGCTACGGAACGTGCTGATGAACGTGCCACAGGACGTGCCCGGGGGCGCGCCACGCGACGTGCCAGGGGGACTCGCCACGGGACGCCCCTTCTCCTCCCCAGAGAAAACAAGCATTTCACTTGAGAGATCCTCTGAATTCTGATCCCCAGGAGAGCAATCTAGAACACAAAACAAGCGTTTCGCTCGAGAAATCCTCAACGACATCTGCGAAACAAGCGTTTCGCTCGGGACATCTTCACATTATCATTCGCCAACCCTCTTCGACCTCGTCATTGATGGCAAAAGAAATTCGCCGGCGCTCTTCGAACTTGGCACCATGGACAGGTTTACCGACTAAAAAAAACCATTTGCCCATGCCCTCTCCGAGACAAACCAGGCATCCCACTCGGTGGCGAGCGAAGAGGGGAAATGAGAAGGAGAAGACCTTCTCATGAAGGCGGCGGGACTTCTCAGAAGCCCTCCGGCCTTCTGAGAGAAATTTGCCGTGTCTTCGGGGAAGGCTCAAACAACTTCTCAGAAGGCCGTGTGACTTCCGAGCCTTCTGAGACGGCCTTCTCTTTCCCCAGAGATCAAACGTCGTGACTTCTTCAATGCGCGGCCCCCGGAAGCCTCGACCCCCTTCCCAGGATCGTTTTTTTTTTTTCATCCTGAGTCGTTCTCAGACGGTCCCGAGGCCCGGCGAGGGCCCCTGGAGGCCGAACTTTGCAAACAAACATAAAGAAAGAGAGAGAGAGAAAAACAAACAACAAACGCAACAACAACAACACCAACAACAACACCACCACCCCCAACAACAACAACAACAACAACATCACCAGCAACAACAACAACAGCAACAGCAACAACAACAACCACAACAACAACACCACCAACAACAACGACAACAACAACATCAACAACAACAACAACAACAGCAACAACAGCAACCCCAACAACAACAACAACCACAACCACAACAACAACAACGACACAAACAATAGCAGCAACAACAACAACAACGACGACAACAACAACAACAACAACAATCATTTAAGACTGGGGACACTCCGTTCTCACCAGTGCCAGGGTTTTCATAGGAAGCGGGCAATACCCCCACTTTGTGGGGGGGGCGGTTCAAGCTCTACCAAATTTCCATACGACTCTTCGCCACCACCCACACCCAGCTTCCCGCCCTATGACGTTCGGACACTTCACTTCGTGGCATGCGGACGACCGTGGCTAGTATCCAGGGCCCCGCGGCCGACGACGACGGCGTGCGCGCGCGAAGAAAAAACGAATGTGTCCAATATGGTATTATTTGATAGGGATGATGGCCCTGGCATGCGCGCAACCATTGTTGCAGAAGTTCGAAGCACGTGAAAAAGTTGCTCGCAAGAGCCCGTTTGACAGAAATGTTGAAAAAATATTGGGTTTCCTCAGAAATCCGCAAGAGCGCGCAAGATGAATTTTTGAAACTTTTTTTTTGAAAAACCATTGGGTTTTTCATGTTTTTATGTTAAAATCGCTACGAAAACTAAGGTTTTGGAAGGATTTCATCTTGCGCGCGCGAGTGTGCACTTCGTGTCATTTTTTCAAAGGATTCTTGAAGTTTGGTTATGTTAGAACAAGAAATTTCATGTTATAGTGTTTTTTGCCAGGGAAAGCGGGCGTCAACAAAACAACCGGATCCGGACACCCACGTTTTGCCTGAGACTTCCTCACGAAAATGATGAAAATGTGGCTGCGGCCTAGGCGCGGCGAGGGGGGCGCGCACCAGGGGTCCCAACAAGAATTATTCTTTAGAATAAATAAGGTTCAACAACAACAACAGCAACAACAACAACACCAACAACAGCAACAACAACAACAACAGCAGCAGCAGCAGCAGCAACAACAACAACAACAACAACAACAACAACAACAACAACCACAACCACAACAACAACACCACCAACAACAACAAACAAAAAACGCGCTGATCTGCTCCATGCCTTGGATCTCTGGGTCTCACTCCCCCCCCCCAGGCTCGCCGCCGTCTGCCGCGGCCCCCCCCCCCGACGTTTGGCCCCGCCCCTGCCGCCTGCCGCGGCCTCGCCGGCCCTCGCCGTGACCCCCGGCAGCGGCCGAGCGGCCCCCGGCGCGGCGAGCGCGGAGGCGAGCGGCGCGCAGCTGGCCGCGGCGCCTGCGCGACGGCGACGCCGACGCCGGCGCGGCCCTTTGCCGCCGACGCCGCGGCGTCGGCGCCGCCGCCCCAGAGACGCGGCGCTCCAAGACAAGCGGAGCTGGCGGGTTGGGCCGCTTGCGGCCCCCGGGGGCCCTCGGCGGGCCCCCGAGGCCGTCCACAAGAGGACCCCCGGGGCGGAAGAGCGACCCTATACATTTAAGTCGCGCCTGTCCCCCTACACGGGGGTTTTCGACGAAAAATACAAGGTACCCCAACAATGTCCCCAAAAGGTCAAAACATACTCAAAAATAGCCCCCAGACTATTCTTGGACTATTTTCTGACCTTTTTTGGGGGTTATTTTTTTAGCTTTCGTCGAG